ATCCTGCATTACCTTGAGGACCCTCGACTATGGGAATTCTGGTATATTCCTTATTATGTGTAATGCAGGGTTTATATCATCAACCGTATGACATCCTGGAAGCCTTACAAATTGCAAAAAACCCTCTGCCCAGACCTAGAACTCTTTCGATTTGGCTGAGGACTCGGCTGCGAAGTTGATGAGGCCTGGGTATGGGATTCAGGGTCTGGGGCTTGGGGGGGGCTTGGTGTGTAGGGTTATGGTTATGCGTTTGGTCTTGTTAAGCCTGGGCTCCGCAGAACGCGATGAGTGCGTACTTGGGTGTGGTGCAATACTCAGTTGTTGCAGGCTGGTATTAAACATTGCGTAAATCCTAAAATCCTAAACACTGAACCCTAAATTGCAGGCGAAGTAGTATTTTGGGGACTCCACACCTGTCACGAATTCGGAACCTCAAATCTAAGCCCTATAAACCCTAAACCCTAAATCCTAAGCCCTGAATCCTACGCTCTGGATCCAAAACCCTCGACCTCAGACCCGAAACTGAACTCCGAGAATAGAGAATGCAGGGGCCTCTGTAACTAGAATAGGGTTTTATTGTCATATTGTACTATAATTATAATAATAAGGAACTCCCAAAATAGTCATAATTAGAATAGGGTCTTGTGCTATATTGTACTATAATTATAACTAGGAACCCCCCTAAAAAATGGTACAGGTAATTATTTAGGCCCCTATATTACGCAGTGCGTCCGAGGGTTTTCAAAAGGTTCTGTATTATTGTCGTGACAAGGGTTCGAGGATTCATCGTCGGAGGCTTGTTGTCAAGGCTTCACTTAGGCGCGAAATCGGGGTTTAGGCTGAAGAGGCTTAAGGATTTGAGGGTGAGGGTTTAGGGCGATGGCTCGGGGTTGAGATGGGGGTTTCAGGATTTAGGGTCATGGTTTGGGGTTTAATGCGATGGTTTGGGCTTCATCCAGGGTCCAGGGCTTGTAGCTGCATTGTAGCTGGACCCCAAACCCAAACCTCAAACACATTCCTAAAGGGTCCATGTACCCAAATAGTATGTACTTTGGCCTTAATGTAGTCCCTATCTAGGTACTTTAGGGCCAATGTATATGCTATTTGGGTACATGGACCCGCAGGGATTACTCCGCATGAACTGGGTCACTGGATCCTTCTCACTTGCAAAAAGCTCTTCAACTCGAAGTGCTAAACCCTAAACCCCCTAAACTCTTCTAAACCCCTCAACCCTAAGCCCCTAAACTCTTCTGAACCCCTAAACCCTCGAATCAAAGGAGCCCGGATCATCCGGCCTGCTGCGATTCAGACCTCGTCTCCTCTTTGGCCTTTCCCATGCCGAGAAGCGAGGCAAGTGACCTGGGGCGTGGGTTTCGGGCTTTAGGGTTCAGGGTTTAGGGCTTTAGGGTTCATGGTTTAGGGCTTTAGGGCTTTAGGGCTTTCGGGTTCAGGGTTTAGGGCTTTAGGACTCTAGGGTTCAGGGGTTGAGGCTTTGAGGGTTGAGGGCCGAAGGTTTAGGGTCTACGGTTTTCGGCTTAAGGCTTAGGGCTTCAGGTTTAGGTTTAGGACCTTAAGACATGGGTAGTTTTCTAAATAAGGGTCCCTTTGGGGATCCTTTTTTATAAGGGTGCCGTACTATATTGGGGACCTAAAAAGAAACCCTAATCTCGAGAACTACCTACATGGGGTTTCCGCGCTAGGGTTTCAGGGCTTGCAGATCAGAGTTTAGGGGGAGTTTAAGGTCTGGGGTTCGACAAATTGGGAACAGCGAGCGCATTTAACGTTAATTACGGTCCCTAAACCCTAAACTCTAAAAACCCTAACAAACCTAAACCCTAAACCCTAAAACCCTAAAACCCTAAAAACCCTAAAGCCCTAAACACCCAAAAAATCCCAAAAACCCTTTTAGGGTAGTTTATAGGGTGTGGGGGATTAGGGTTGGCAAGCTTCAGGTCTCGGCATTGGGGTTTAGGTGGTGCTCGGCTTGCAACCTTGCAGAGACTAATGAGCGTATCAGACATACGGTTCATGACATATATATATATATGTTTAGGGTTTAGTAGGGTTTAGGGTTTAGGGTTTAGGGTTTAGGGTTGATGTATATATATATATATAGATATATATATACATATATATATATATATATATATCCAGCCTTACCCAAAATAAGGAGTATAAAACAATTCCAATAGTTTAGGGTCCTTGAGGTAATGCAGGTTTTATATTATCAACAGTATCATAAAAAAACATACATGTATGAGACACAAACACACGTGTGCCTAAGAACCAAACCCTGAATCTTAAACTTATAGGGATACCCCTGACCCTGAACCTTTCTATGGGTTCATGTGCCTGTGCAGTACACAGTTTGGCCTTAAATGGGTCCCGAGATAGCAACTTCAGGGTGCAATGTCTGCACTCCACATATGGATGCATGAACCCAAGTTCAAAACTCCTAAGCCGAAGCCGTAAGCCATTAGAGCTTTGAGTGCTTCTACCCAAACTCTGAAAGGGAGACTAGGGGCTTGGTCAGATCAAACTAGTGCAAGGTTTCGTCACAGATGTATTGTGCAGCTACGTAGGGACTTGAAAATGACGTATTTCTTCGAACAGGGTGTTGGGACACAGTGACGTATAGCTATATAGGGGATATCAGAGGGTAGTCTCCACACGCTAAATGCCAAACCTTGGGCGCTCTCACTATGCACTTCACCCCAAAAAATCTGAAACGCTAGAGTCCCCCAAACTCTAAACCCTAGATGGGCTAAGGTCTACCGAGCCTCAGGTTGAGTGTCTATGGGTTCAGGGTTTAGGGTTTAGGGTTTTGGGTTTGAGGTTGAGGTTTTAGGAGTTTGGGGTCTGGGTCTTGCGAAAGATAAACAAGACCAGCATTGGTCAAGGAGGAGAAGTCTGCAGCAGGCGAATGTGATGCTGATGCATGAGTCTTCTTAGTCTGCCTTGGCCTTCAAGCTATCACGGGCCTTGGCTGCTTCGTCCAGCCTTAGCCTTTGGCCACAGTGCTATATCAAAGGCCTTAAGGCCTTTGGCCTTTCTGAGGGCACTTTGGCAAGCCTTTGGCCTGTGGGCCTGTGGTCTGCAATCGCTTTGGCAAGCTGTTGGCCTGGGGCCAATTCGCCTTTGGGCTTTCAGCCGCACTGACTGGTGTGCCTTTTGGCCTAGCCAGGCTTTGGCTGGCTGTAGAGGGCCTGACGCAATGTGGCCTGAAAACGTCGCTGATATGTCTCAGTCATAGGACTGTCGAGCTAGCCGACTGCGAAAACGCGAGTGTAACGGCACACCGCATGTATGGAAGCCAAGCTTGGCCTATCCTGACCCTGGGGAACCTACCTGTTTCGGATTCTTCTTATGCCTCTTCATGCAGTTCCTCGCCAGGGTTGTCGTTTGAGCTTCTCCAGGCACTACACTCGAAACCGAAACCGAGCAGAACCACAGACCTCGAAGCTTACGCTGAGTAAGAAGCTACAAACTTAAGCCGTTGCATGTAGATCCCACAACCACCGAAGCTTGCTGCCACATTTACAACTGCAAGGTCTTACCGGTTAACAACATCTTGGCGTAAACGTTCCCTGCCACGTTGCCTCGACCTTGAGAGTCGCAACCCTGCTGCGAAACCGCTTGGCACTTTAGGGTTTACCTAGAATAAACAAGGTATAAGTTACCTTAAAAAAAGTGAAAGATGCCTCTTGTTAAGCGTCATATCCTTTCTGTAATCTACATTTTTCGCTCTAGCCGGGAGCAAAAGCGAACAACGAACCTAACCTTCACCAGCGAAGAAGCAAGGATAATATAGGGGCCTTCGGAATTAGAATAGGGTTTGGGGTATATAATACTATAATTATAATAAGGAGCCCCCCAAAACCCTATTCTATTTAATTACTAAAGCCCCTACACAAAACCCGCTCATACAGGCGCCTACAAGACACAAGAACCCCTGAACCTCCGAACCCAAACCCAACCCTAAGGGTCCATGTACCCAAATAGCATATACTTGTGGCCTTAATGTAGTCCCTATATAGGTACTTTAGGGCTGATGTATATACTATTTGGGTACATGGACCCTTAGGGCAACTTTCAGATTCCGTAAACGACGAATCCGGTGTGTACCGGCGTGAAAATTTCAACTAGAATACCAAGACCTGCACATGAGCTACATCAAGACCAAACCCGTTGGGGCTTGAGTTTGCTTGGAGGTTCAGGGAACTTAGTACTGACAGTCATAAGTGCATTGTTGTCGGGTTTAAGTAATTATAGATATAGTTGCCTTATCTACAACCCAAGGTACTAAGTCCCATGATCCTTTAAGAAGGGATGCAATTTAATCAGGCTCTGCTCTTGAAAAGAAACTTCAAATCATCAAACCACACAACGAAACGAAGCTGGATCTGACCCCACACCCAAAAGGCATACATCCTTAGGGTTCAGGGTTTAGGGTCCTTAAGCCTTAAGACCTCAGACCCCAAAACTCCAAACCTCAACGAAGATCAACCCCTGAAGCCCCCACATCCTACATCCTAAACACCACCCGACCCTCTGCTGAGGAATGCGCCCCTCTGCTTTTTGCTTCTGCCCGGGGCACCTGCGGCAAGATCGGGGTTTACGGTTGGGGGGGGGGTTCGGGTTTGATAGTAATTACAGCTGATACTAAACCCTAAATCCAAAAGACAAAACCCTAGATCCTAAACAGGAGCACGGTTTAGGGTTTAGGACTTAGGGCTTTGAGCTGTGGGCTGGCTGATTAACCAGAACCAGGCGAAATGTTTTTGTATATGTTTAGGACTTAGGGTTAAGTGTTTATACAGTTATGTCTCTTGCATTACATCGCATGACAGTTGATAGTGCTGGCTTTGGGGCTCTTCTCAGGATCTCAACCGTAAACCCTAAATCAAAGGGCCTCGGGGATGGGGAATACAGTGTCGGGATTCGGGTACTGCAGTTACGGATCGCTGCTGCACTGGGGGACCGACTAAAGCCGCCACATAAGAACCGGCGAGGTGGGATGGTAAACGTGATGAACATTCTACAAACGAAACAGGAAACTTCAAACCCATGTTCCATTTATACTAAGGCCTTTTTATAAGACACTATGAAGATCAGAGGCCCGTTTATAAGACACGATGGAAACCCGTAGCATGGCATGAAGCTCTCAAGCCCAGAGCTGTGCACTCTGCGCCCATGAACGGGCCAAGAGTCTCACCTTGGAGCTGCTAAACCCTAAACCCTAAATCCTAAACCGAAAACCCTAAACCCTAAACCGAAGCCTAGTCGCCCACCCCGAGTCCCTGAAACTGCGCCCTACAATAGGGTTTAGGGTTTAGGCTTATAGGGTTTAGGGTTATAGGGTTTAGGGTTTAGGGTTTAGGGCTCTTACGGTAAACTTTGTACCTGAACCTAAACCCTTACCCTCAAAGGACTCGTAGTTTAAGGCTTTTGTTCCAAAAGACCCTATTGTATAAGGCTTCTGGGCTATTTTGATGCCAAGGAAACCTTCCACCCTCAATTGTCAAACCCTACATCCGTGATACTAGCGCTTAACAACAGTGAAAACAGTACTGACAGTCGTGGTAGGATGAAAGTCATGAGCATGATTCATCAAGCCCCTTCGGTCATTCGACAATGGAACCCGCTTCATAACATGTACTGTAGGGGCCTAAATAATTAGAATTGGGTTTTGGGGGATATTATCTAAAAAATATAATAAGGAGCCCCCAAAAAAAATAGTAAAGGTAATTATTTAGACCCCCATATTACAGGAGTCTCCCGGTCCCTCCTCAATCCCAAACCACCCTAAACCCTAAACCCTAAACCATCCCGAGCGCCCCGGCCCGGGTTGCATCGCACCAGGCGGAGGCTTAGACCTCCGCAGATTCCGCGGGCGAAGGCTCACGACCTGACGCGGACGCACTGGGTCCTTTCAACGGACCTATAAGGGATTCCTGTCAAGAGGGTCCATATATACTACTATTCTGGAAGTAGGTCCTCACAACCATAACAAGGATGGAGCTTTGGGACCTAATTCCATAATGCTAGTGTATCTGGACCCTCTGGGCTGTCAAGGTTTCCTATAAGCCTATAAGGGATCTGTAAGGTTTTATTAGGTTTAGGGCGGTTGGGCTGCACATAGGCACCTAAATCAGCTCTGAAGACTGAGCCCTACCTTAAGAACCCAAAACCAACTTTTTTGTAGGTTCTTATTATAAACCCTAATATGGGATTGATAGGGACCCTACAAAAAAGTAGGTTTTGGGTTCTTAAGATCAAGACTCAGCCCTAAACCCCGGTGTTCTTCATCGGTTTGCTATATTACATTCAAACGGCTGTTGAAGTACTGCTCGAAGGCTTTAGTTTTTGCTCTACAAAATGCCTGTTGTGATAGTTCCCTAAACCCTAAACCCTAAACCCTAAACCCTAAACCGCTTCTCTTTGCTGTTCGAATGCATGTTGCAGGAGACTGCAGGGTATCTGCAACCCAAAACCCTAAGGGTCCATGTACCCAAATTTGCAAATACAAGGCCTTAATGTAGTCCTTACATAGGTACTTTGGGGCCAATGTATATACTATTTGGGTACATCGACCCTCAGGGAGAATGTAGCAGCCTAAAAACCTTTAACCCCACAAGCCCGTAAACCGTTGAACACGTAAACCCATCAATTCTGAAACCCTAAACCCGTAAGACAGAAACGCGGAACCCGCATTTGAGTCCGTCAGGCTGAGGGTGGAGTTGGTGTCTCTGTGATGGTTCCGCCGATCTTCGGGTGTCATACAAGCTGCGCCCAGGGTGCCACACAAACTTTGTTAGCGTCCCGTTTCGGTTTTGGGCTTCCAAAGTCTGGGGTGTAGATTGTGGAACTGTCGCAAAACGTAAGCCCTGAGTTGGCTCTTCTTCCTGAAATACACGGCTAGGCCGCAAGGACCATTCTGTCTAGGCTATTCCTTTTCGACCGGAAGGAGAGAATCATGATAGGTCCCTTTTGAGCCCTTTGAACTTGCGACTACTTACAGATTGTACATGCATCGGTGTTTCCGTACGTATGTATGTATGTACGTATGTATGCATGTATGTATGTGTGTATGTGTGTATGTCGGCATGTCTGTATGCAGGAGGCCTGCGGGTAGGTAGGTATGTGTGTATAGAGCCTTTTGGTAGAACCCTGAATTCCAAACCTAGACTGCCATTCGACCTCAATTACCTCAATCCTAATTCTGACCGCGTCTTCCCTACAAGATCTTTAACAAACAATCTTATGAAACCGTCGTAGTAACCCCTAAACCCTAAACCCTAAACCCTAAACCCAAAGCCCACACTAACCATAAACCCCTGAACCCCAAGGAGCCTTCTCCAAGAAGATACCCCTGAACCCCAAGGAGGCTTCTCCAAGGAGATCGGTCATAGTAACCCCTAAACCCTAAACCCTAAAACCATAAACCCCTGAACCCCAAACGGGCCTTCTCCAAGGAAATCAGTCATAGGAACCCCTAAACCCTAAACCCTAAACCCTAAACCCTAAACCCAAACCCCACAATAACCAGCAAACCCCTGAACCCCAAGGGGCCTTCTCCAAGGAAATCATGACCTCCCAGCGATCCCGTTCGGCGCTGTACTCGGTCACGACGCCCTGCACTTTGAGGCGTATCGGGCTTCTACTTCTAGGCCGAGACTTGAGGGTTTAGGGTTTAGGGTTTAGGGTTTAGGGGTTTAGGGTTTAGGGTTTAGGATTTGAAGTTTAGGTGGCCCTAAACCCTAAACCCTAATTTAGGTGGCCTAGAATTTGGGGTTTTGGGATTTGGGCTTCGCGCTCAGGGCGTCGAAGGCTTTACACGGGGATTTCAACTGGGGCAAAAGGGTCTTCCCCAAACCCTAACCTAAAGCCCTAAACCGCAGACCCAAAACTTCAAGAATACTAAAAACTATGCCCTAAAACCCTAAAGCCCTAAACACAACTCCTAAACCATGATTCCCGAGGTGTGTATCCATCACAGTGCATGGCTCGCAGCTGTGGCAGGCTCCGCGGGTGTAAGACAAGAAGACAGGTTTAGGGTTTAGGGTTTAGGATCCCCTAAACCTTAAACCCTAAACAACCCTAAACGCATACACTCTGCAGAATAATCCCCTAAACCTTCGACCCTAAACAACCCTAAACACATACACTCTGCAGCATATCCTAAAGCACACCCGAGATCCGTATAAACCGAAGTCAAAACCCTGGGAGCATCCTAAACCCCTGAGCCCCTAAGCTCCAAACTTAGGGTTTAGGGTTTAGGGTTTCCGGTTTAAGGTTTAGGGTTTAGGATTTTAGGGTTTAAGGTCTAGGATTTAGGGTTTAAGGTTTAGGGTTTAACTTAAGCGTTGAACCAAACATCGTAAGCCTTACCCCTAAAGCCCTGAACCTCTAAACCCCTCTACCCTAAACCCCTAAACCCTGAACTGCTCACTGCTTGCCCAAACCCCTGAACCCAGAACCTTACCCCAGAACTCAAACCCCTAAACTCGGGAAGCCAAACCCCGAAACTCCGAAACCCCCCAACCCCTGAACCCCCAAACACCAAAAACCCCAAACCCCTAAACCCAAAGCCCAGTCCTAAACCCTAAATCTCGAAACCCCTGACCATTAAACCCTAAACCCTAAAACTTA